TTCCAAGTTAATTAATACCAGAAAAATGGACCGTAAGCAATTGTACGCTTGCGTACGGTTTCTGATAAAACTCTACTTAAACTGCTACTGCAGTAACTGTATAATGTACGGAACGTTGAGAATGTTTCCCCTAGTATCCGGAAACCATCGAAAAATATATCAACAGATATACACGCGAGAATCACTTGTTTCGGAGTCATGAAAAACTTTTAATGTAAAAGTTTACCTTCGTCTACGGTAAATGTTATAAAGCCACAACAGTACCTCTCTATACGTTCTCTCGATAGAACGCTTGGTACACTAGCTCTTCTCGCAAACTTCTCACCTCATTCTCGAAACTCCCGAACTCTCGAGAAACGTCTGTGTCTCGCGAAGCTCCAATCTCCCTTGAGAATTCTCGCAACGTGTATATGCGCGAACAGACACAAAAGTGCCACTTGTTAGCCTCGATTCAGACATTGGAAAGACCATGTCTCCAATAGGTTCGATCGAAGAGCGATATTTTTCAAAGACATTGATTAATCCGATCGTATGCGTTATGTAATTGTAATGTATAATACACATGCGTATAAAATCTATTGTGCGAATAAAACGCGTGATCTCACCGTGAATGTCGAAAACCGGAAAGTTGAAAAAGTGAATCGCGGAAAATCGAAGCCGATAGAGGTCGTCGGTGTAAATTAGCACGCATCGCGCAGGTTCGCGTTTTCACGGATATTCCAAGGACGGGGAAAATCGAAAAATATTACCGTTGCTTGTCGACAAGCCGTGCGATCTCCATTCCTCCACCACCGCCACCGCGACGAATGAAAAATTCATTTCCACCGTTCCATGGCACTTGACCCAGCCAGTGGAGATGAATTCGGCTACAATGTGCGTGCGAGCTACAAGGATTTTTGGCAATATATTATCTCATCCTGCGCTTATTTTGGTCCATTTGAAGCTCAAATGTCCGGAATGTGGGGGAAAGCTTACGCGTCCCCGTAGAAATACAGCGCGGAGTTATTTCTCGAAAAGTTGCTTATCTTCGAGAGGAGAGAACATGGAGAGGAATGGATCGATCCTTTTTCGCGACAAACAGGCGGTTTTAAAATAACGGAATCGTTTGGAAGTTCAGTTTGACGGGTGCCGCAGTGTTCCCAGTTCTCGAGAAAATGCGCCGCGTGTTTTCACTTCTCGAATCTAAATTAGTTTCCTCGAGTACCAACGCGTTCCCCTTGTTCCGCGTTTGCCCGTCTGCGCGACGGATTTTAATATAATCCGACGACTCGAGTTCCATGAAAAAGGCAATCCTGTACGAACACGCGCACACGCGCACAGTCCTTCGAACGGAACTAACTTCTTATTAACATAAAATAAATCTTTACTGAAAATTCCTTATTATCTGTCCCCGAGTAGATCGATTGTCTATCGATTTACGGCATAATCTTGACGCAGATACAATCAAAACAAACATGACATTTCACCGAAATAAATTTATATATACGAAATGGGGTATAATCAAATAATAAAATACTGTTTTCATTAATTAAAAGTCGACCCCTAAGTTTTATCAAAATCTAGTCACTTTCCGCATTTTGTCCCGTTACATTGGATCCGTCATTTTGAATTTCTAAATTCTGAGTTCCGATTTGGAATCAGCAACCTTATTTATTGCTGTACTGGTCAGAAGTATAATCCTGGTGTAGCAATTGCATGCTAGTAGTTAACTTGCGGTTCCAGGCAAGTAAATATTAGTATCAAGGGTACCATAGGATACTAAAGATGCTATTATATATTTATATATTTTTGATTAGAATCGAAATTTGATACTCGTCAAGGAAGCAACAGCGCAGTTTCCGACGATGATCGAACAAAAATAAAATTCAATCGATGAGCAACAAATCGGCCGATCGAGGCGAACCAATTAAAAGTTATTCCAAGTACCCGTTGGCGTCGATTTACATCGAAACTCGACGACGGACGCCGACAATCGATTGGGTGCGGTGCATGGAAATATCGAAGGGTGAACCTCCTACAGGGTTCTCCACCCGGTAATCTATAACAAATATTTGCTTGTTGGTCCGAACCAAGAACGTCTCGACCGACTCGAAAGTTAGCCGATGGCGAACTCTGGAAAAATTGGAATTTTGAAGCACGCCTGATATCGATGCAACGCCAACGGACAAGTCGGTCTTTCATATTTAGTGTACATACACACCATCCGTTTACTCCGTCGGTTTTCTGCTCCTGCTAAACGATTTTTCGGAGAAAAGAATAATTTATCACAAAAGAACGATACGTTTCTATAAATATACAACACATTTATTCGACGCGCGTAAAATATAGTAACGCGTTTACGTTAGCTAGCAGAAAATATTTCCGAGCGCAAAGTTTAGTTCCGGGATGCAAGAATAAAGTATGCGAAAGGCCAATTGTCGCGAGCTTTTCACTCGGAGAACAGACGACTAGGCGAGGCGGATATAAACGGTTCAGATGCGGTTGAGCTGCTTTAGTTGTAATTGACATAGCGAGTATGCGTTCTCCGGTTATCGTCCACCTCGAGTTAATACCATTAATTCCACTCTCACGGCTACGAAATAAAACTGCGGACGTTTCCGTCCGATTATAACTGCACGCAGAACTAAAACGCTTCGCCGCGTAATGGGCACGGAAACATTGCAAATATTTTCGCTCGAGCGTACATTTAACATTTCAGGTTTTGAATGTTGTTCCGTTGCGATGCGCTAAGAGACCATACGTACCGAAAACGCGCCACGCTTGAAAATATCACGTACTCGCATTTCGCATTTTCCGTTCAGACACTCGTAACCATTTTTTATCGCGTCGATATTTTTACCTTAACTAAAAGAAACTTAAGAAACTACCGTTTCTACCGATTAAACCTTTGTCGCGATAATGAGTAACGTTTCCACCTATGGAAATCGCCTCGCTGTTTAACCTCGAGCGGCAGGCTACTCCCTTCGCGTATGCGAGACTAGAGATGAAAAAAAAAAAAAAAATGCACATACGTTCGAAAGTGTAAAAGGTAGTCCGCTATCGCGATTACGGTCCGTTTCATTGACGCGAACACGCGTAAAGCATTTCAACGGCGTCCTCGTATAATCCCGTAAAGCAGTTTTTCCCGTAAAGCAGCTTTTCCCGTGCGCGTATACCTTTGGCCTCAGAAATGCAGCCTGCGCAAGGATCGAGTATACGTAAACGTAAACGTAACGTTAACGTAAGAGTAAACGGCGGCATGGTTCTGCTCCAAACAGGCTAGGCACGCGGTCCTCTGGCAGCGGGCCAGTAAGCGAAACAAACCTGGAACTATGTAAAGCCTGCTAACTTCATCTTCGCGGGTTAACCAAGCGAGCCGCGGCAAGGCCGAGCGGACACCCTCGGCGAACTCCTCGCGTATTTACGCCAAGATCGATGACCCGATTCTCGGCCAAAGGCCGCGCCAGATCCGATCCGTGGAGCCGCTTAACGCCAACAAGAGTCGAAAGTCCTGCTGACTAATGCTTTCAACCCGGTCGCGTATTCACCGGTGATCTCGAGCTGCTCCACCCGTGAAACCGAACGGTGTCGGAGATTACGTGCCTCCGAATAACTCGCCAAGACACTTGGAGAAGAAGGATACTTTCCTTCTTTTCTTCGTCCGCGACCAGCGTCCGTTTCTTTTCACCTAGCTCACGGAGAACAGATTTACGGAGCTGACGGAGTAGTTTGTTCGAAAACTAAGTATCCACGACCCGCAAACGTTCCTCTGCTTCCGAAACGGTTTCGTCGCGTTACTTGAACGATACACGCATAATGCGAGTTACGTATTCGCAATCGCCGAGGCAAATAGAGTGCATACCCGCCAACTGGTTTCCGCACTCGAGAGAATATTTATTCTTTCCTCTTCTCTCTCTCTCTCTCTCTCTCTCTCTCTCTCTCTCTCTCTCTCTCT